CCTTGGCTTTAGCGACACCAGAAGCAACAATACCGACACCAGTCTCAGAGACAAGCTTGACAGATACTCTAGCACGTGGGTTGGAGCACTTTAGATCATAGATCAATTGCTTCAAATCCTCGATAGAGTAAATATCGTGGTGAGGTGGTGGCGAGATGAGACCAACGCCTGGGGTCGAGTGACGTGTACGCGCAATAGACTTTGATACTTTGTGACCGGGAAGCTCACCTCCCTCTCCAGGCTTGGCGCCCTGGGCCATCTTGATCTGAATCTCATCCGAATCAGCCAAATAGTTGGATGTAACTCCGAATCGACCCGAAGCGACCTGCTTAATCGCTGATCTCATGGTATCTCCATTCGTCATCCTCTCAGAACGTTCAGGATCTTCACCACCTTCACCGGTGTTCGACTTGCCACCAAGACGGTTCATAGCTACAGCAAGCGTGGAGTGAGACTCCATAGAGATGGAACCGTAAGACATGGCACCAGTGCAGAATCTGCGGACGATTTCGGTCCATGGCTCGACCTGATCGATCGGCACAGGGGAGCTATCTTCGAAATTGAAATCAAGCAGCCCGCGGAGAGTGCAGGCTTTGATCTGCTCGTACTCAGAAAGTGAGTATGCCTCGTATGACTTATCGTTCTTGGTACGAACGGCGTCTTGAATGTTGGCAATTGAAGTAGGATCGTTGATGTGCGGCTCTCCACCATCCCGCCAATGATACTCACCTGATTCTACAAGACCAGGGATGCTGACAGTGTAGCGGGACGGGAATCCCTTTTCGTGAAATCGGAAGGCATCCTCGGCAATGAGCTCAAAGGTGATACCCTTAATTCTTGTTGCTGTCCCTTTGAAGCATCGGTCAACAACAGTGTCATCAACTCCAAGAGCTTCAAAAATTTGGGCGCCCTTATAACTGGCAAGCGTGGAAATGCCCATCTTACTCATGACTTTGAGAATACCACCGTCAGCAGAGTACTTGTAGTTACGAATCAAATCATCATCACTAAGCTTCTTCCTGATGAGACCCTCGCGGTTCAGCTTCAAGATACATTCCATGGCAAGATATGGATTGATTGCATCAGCACCATATCCCAACAACACGCACATGTGATGAACCTCACGAGCTTCGGCGGTCTCTAGAACCAATGCAGCAAGAGATCGCCACTTGTTGTTCACCAAGTGATGATGAACCATACCGGAGGCAAGGAGAGCAGATACCGGGACACGATCGGCGGACGTTGCTCGGTCAGAGAGGATAATGATACGGTCCTTGTTCTCGATCGCGGCTGTGGCTTGGTCGCAGATGTAGTCAAGATGGTTGATGTAACCCTGGACGCCTTCAGACTTAGGGAAAGTCAAGTCAATAACCTTCACGGTCCAGCTAGAGTGTAGCTTGTTAATGTTCTTCAGCGCGTTAAACTCAGGAATTGACAACACTGGGGTTGGCAGTAACAATCGTGCGCACTGGGAAGAGTCCATCTCCAGAAGATTACCTTGAGGACCGACATAACATTCCAAGGACATGACAATGGCCTCTCGAATGGGATCGATTGGAGGATTGGTGACTTGTGCGAAGAGCTGTCTGAAGTATTCGTAAAGCAGTCTCGGAGCTTGTGCTAAGCATGCCAAAGGCGCATCATTGCCCATAGATCCAAGTGCCTCCTTTTCGTCAGATGCCATTGGTCCCAACAACAAACTGACCTGCTCGAAAGAGTAGCCGAACGCCTTCAGCAGAGCATCCTCTTGGATTGTAGCAGTATCAGGCTTTGCCGCAAGATCAACGGAGCCACGGGTAATGAGGGTCTCGTGAACCTTTGGCAAGCTAATCAACTCCTTCTCTAGCCAGTTTCGGAAGTTGTGCCTGTTGGCGACTTTGCTCTTGAGTTCGGAATCATCAATGATGCGACCAGCGAGGGTATCCACAAGCAGCATCTTTCCTGGCTGAAGACGACCTTTAAGGATAACTCTCTCTGGATCAACCTGAATGGTACCAACTTCAGACGCACAAATGATTCTGTCATCATCCATCACATAGTATCTGCAAGGTCGGAGACCATTTCGGTCCAAGTTTGCACCGCAGTATCTGCCATCAGCAAATGTGAAAAGTGCGGGTCCATCCCAAGGCTCCATTTGGCATGCAGCCCATTCATAGAATGCAGCTTTTGCTGGGTCCATTGCCGCGTTGTCTTGCCATGCTTCTGGAACCATAAGCATGACAGCTTCTGGCAAAGATAAAACACCATTGATGGTCAGCAACTCGAGAACATTATCGAACGCAGCAGAGTCAGAGCCTCCATCTTCAACAATCGGATAGAGCTGTTCCATCTCATCGCCAAAAACGTCAGACCGCATAACACCCTCACGAGCGCGCATCCAGTTCTTATTACCCCGTAGGGTATTGATTTCACCTATTTACAGGCATCGTTAGTAATTGTAATTTTGCACAGGACTTTACGAATATCCATACCATTGTGTGCTGCCCAACGCAGTGGTTGAGCACGGTCCCAGGACGGAAAGGTATTCGTCGAGAACCGGGAGTGGACGAGGGCAAAGTGGGCTTCGTAGTCGGCATTTACCAAATCATAATAGTATTGATAAACCTGGACGGGGGCCAACTGGCCTTTGTAAACGATATTCTTGTTAGAAAGCGAACACAAATAAAACCAGTTGTGAAGTCCTATGGTATGGGTGGCACGCTTTCGCAATACGTAGAGCTGTCTTTCGAAATATTTCTCATCAAAATGTTGGGGGTCTGTAGTCTCTGGCGATTTGCCATAGCCATATGCAGATGCTAGCACAACGAATGGCTGCAAAATAATAGGCTCACGGGAAGCAGCAGCGGGACCAAGAAGAGTGGAATCCTTGGGAGGCTCTCGCCATCCCAAAACTCTCAAGCCTAGAGATTCAGAGATCTCTTCCAATTGTCTCTTTGATTCTTGCAGAGTTTCCTCATCTGGTTTGAAGAAGAGATTTCCCACCGCATATTGCCCCAATGGAGGAAGCTTGATATCCTGTTCGCGCTCGAAATTCTTGATGAAAAACTTGTGAGGAATCGAAGTCATAACTCCCGCCCCATCTCCATCTCGTGCATCGGAACCCACCGCACCCCGATGGGTCATGTTACAGAGGAGGTTTCGCGCTGTAGAAGGCAAGCATTAGATAATCGCCCCACGTCAATGGAGGGGTAGGAGGCATACCATCGCTGACAATCTTGTGGCTCGCCTTGCCCTTGATGTTACTGAGAAGTCTGTCAGTTCCGTTCCGAGTCACACAAGCTTCGCTGAGAGGAAGCATACCATGCAAATCCTACTCCGCATGCATCCTTTTCAAGCCCAGGATCATATAGACCTCTGTCACTGATGTTAGCATTTTCCAGCTTTGAGGTTTTGAATTCACATACTGCTTCACAGGCAGGGCGCCTGCCCACGACTCATTTTCCTCCGTCTGATATTCATAAGGATGATATGGCTCGTTCTGAGCGTCGATTTCGTCTTGTCTATCGTTGAAATCGTCGACTTTTGCCATAGCAGGCAAAGAAACGGCGATTTCAGAAATGAATGCTTCGCACGGAATAATGAGGGGTATCTCGGATCGTGCGTGCCTCGTAAAAGAATGATCTCGTAATGCTCGCGCCTGGTCTTGAGAGATGTACAAGTCAGTAATTTGGTCAAAGAAAAATGAACTGGGTCCAAGACTAAGACGTGGGCGAAAATGAGAAATGAACTATGAAGCGCTTGTAATTGGCTAGTTGCGAGCCGAGGATTGTTAGACCCAGTAGCTCCCGGCAGTGAATCGGATCGCCGCCATAGTCAACGTCGATAGATGAGATGAACTTTTGCCCACGCTCGCAACGGCAGATCAAATTGCACATCTGCACAATGGAGAGGATGAAACCATTCTGGTTGGCAGTACCAGAAGGGGAATTTGATCGCTCGTCGCGAATACGACTCCGAAATGGCCGGTTGCATGACGATGATAATGCTGGTGTTCTGCTAAGTGACGATAACGGTGCGATTGGCGGGCCATATGAATCGGACGTATGTGTGGTCGATAATGCGAACGCTTCCGGGCAGAGATAGACAGACGTGGGATTCATCACGCAGGTAACTTACAATGCTTCACTCCCAGCTGGATGTGTTTGCGACAGTACAAGGAGGCGATTGTTTAGCAACGCAAGACGGGCGTTGTTGGAGAACGAAGGCAAGCGAGTACACAGTGTATCAGCAGGAAAAGTCAAAAACGGGAAATCTGAGGGGGAGCGAAGGGTTTTATTGTTTTCTAGTCTTTCTTCCCGCGGCTGGTGCGTGGCCAGGCAGCGGATCTCTTTATGGCATGGGAGAGTAGTGGGTTGATGAAGCTAGTACTCGTCTGATTCGAGTTTGCCTGGCCTGGCTCCTCCTCCCATCGGCCTGTACCGGATTGGAGTTGTGGCTACCCAAGACTAGTGTTACTTACATAACGATCCAGGAGATTAAGGTTGCCAGACAATTAATATTTGTTTCAACAGATATTCGTATTGACCTCAGTTGGCGGCGTCAAGCAGCAGGTATCTATGTCTTTACACAAATTCAAAAAAGTCTCTAGCTGTGTCTCAGCCCCAGAACCGTACCACTGCCGCTAGAGTCCGACATCATTGATCATCACAGTGGTGACAAGTCCTCTTGCGTTCGCCTGTGGATTTGAGACTCTTGTTTGCTGCTATGTCTGATGCAGTGTTGATTGACAGCGGGCTTGGTAGCCTTGAACGCTTTTTGGGCAAGGTTCAGAACGCACCCCACACAGAGAGTTACCACAACCATCTGCAGTTCGATGCAACTCGGTCTTGATGTCGTGATTTGCATAAACGTGCAGAAGAGAAGGGCAGCAGGACGAATAGCAGCCCTGCTTGGACTGCTCAAGAAATACCAGCATTGGAAAGGTTGCAGTAGGGGAGCCGATATCGCCGTTTGCCTGGTGGTAAGCGGGCTTTGAAATGCACAGCTCACCAACGAAATGTTGTAAAAGAGCGGCTCTCATTGGCGAATGGTGTTTTCGTGGGACACCGGCATCATGGTCGTCTGTTGCTCAAGCGTTCGCCGAGGGGATGTTCCTTGACGACGGGCAGAGCTTGGTGATGGAGGGGCATGCGGTGGACGCGGATTGTCCAAGCGCCAGCAGCGAAATATTTTTCTTTTCAGGGGTCCCCGCAGCCAGAAGGACAACCAAAATGACACATGCTAGCAGAGCTCTGAGTTGTGGCCATTCACAGCCGCTGGATAGTCGAGATTAGACAGCTGTCCTAGCAAAGAGGGGTATGCCCTGGTCGACAATCCGTCATTTAATGCTGGCCGGCACGCCCCACGCTTTTATCGGGAGACACAAATCAGATCCGACGTCTCATCGTGTCACCCCAATATGGAAATCCTGGTGAGAGCTCTCCCCGTGACCGACGGAATTTGCACCCAGACGTCGGGTGTTGTAGGAAGCTGTAAACAGACGCGGAAGTGTCCGACAACGTTGGACGGAAGAGCTCGTTGCGTGTACCATAGGATGTGTCAAAGTTGGGCTAAGAAATACAAACAGCAAACAAGAATGGACAGGAAGGAAACATATAAACCCTAATCATGGTCGGCTGAATTTCCGTAGCAGATTCAGGTCGTAAGCACGAAGGGTTGGCCATGCCACATTGTTGTCAACGACAAACATATCCAAAACGAGAGCATGAACACCTACGCGCAAGGTATGGATAGACAGCCTTGTTTTAGAAAAGAGAAAAGAGAAGCATGAAGGAGTGCCCGAATCGTCTCGTACAAAGATTCTACGAAGGTCCCAAGTCTCGGAAAAGGAAGCATTCAACACTGGTTAACATGCTGTGCGCTTGCAAGGTCGTAATACGCCCAGAGAACTCGGCATAATTACCAACCTCATTCTTTCATGATAGCTCTCGCCAAAAGTATGAGGAACAGGATGTGTGGCTTCTTAAGCAGTCCATGAAGAGTCGAATCCGAGTGCGAATTCGATTAATAGCGAACACAGCGTCCAATTGCTCTTTTGTTCGACACAATAACTGCTGCGACGAGTGCCTTGCGAATAGAAGGCGGATGCCAACGAGAATAGAAATCGAGATACTCGAGTAAGATTTGACCGTAGAAAAAGACAAATGTAAGGCAACCCTGTAGCAGGATTCTGTTCTGCATAGTCGTCGGTCCTAGTAACAAGGGGACGCCTTACCAAGTAGGTAGGACTCTTGTCGTACTAGAAGCTTCGTCACCTATAGAAAGGTTAGATAATACCAAACCGATATCTTTTCATCGATGGAATTGGTTATATATGCCTCAACAAACCAGAGAAGTATTGTGCATACCATATTATTATATACCGCCTAAATTGAACAATTGGTGGAAAGAGAACTGTGAAGTTGAATTCGGAATTTCGACGCGTCAGCTCTTGGTTCGACCGCGTTGGCGGGGACCCCTCCTTTTCCGAACAAAACAACGACATTATTTACTTTGTTTGCGCCGAACACCGTAAATACTACTAACGAACCACCATTCCACCATCTATTCATCAGCCATGCTATCTCTACCAAGTCTCGCTCCACAAGATGTGAGTATTTTCTGCTCCCCCCCAAGACAACAACTGATACCTCCCATCTAGTCCTACACTCTCTGGTACACCTCCAACAACTCACCCAATTCCACCCAACACACCGAGCCCAACCCTGATCACTTCGGACCCAACACCCAAGGCCAGAACGGCCAACCCAATCCTCATCGTCGCAATCATGGCTTGCATAGACACCCTCTCGCTCGGTTGCGCCAGGACGAAGAATACATCGAGCGGCGCAAACAGAACATCCAGAACTATGGCAATTCATGGATCAAGCCCCCGGGCATCCCTAAATCGCTGCACCAGCTCCGCGAAGAGAAGCGGGAGATGGAAGAACATCAAGAGGCGTTGAGACGAGAGCAATTGGCGCAAGAGTTGGCGGAGGCTGAGGCGAGTGCTGCGGAGGGATTACTGCAAGGGGAGGGCATGGATGGGGAAATGGATGAAGCGAGGGATCTGGATGATGATGTTCCGGAAGCTGATACGACTGCACTCACTTATGATGATGCTGATGAGACCGATGAGGATGAAGATATTGATAATGAAATTGAGGATGTTCCTCGTGGGGTTTTGGCCTCTAGGATGCCTGACGATGTCTACAGAGAGGCACTTATACGTGGAGAAGCAGCCGGGGATCCCCAATTCGGCGGAGATGGTGATTCAACCATTGATGGAGAAGACGGCTCGCAGATGTTACAAGAGGAAGACTTAGTCCACGATGATAGTCATCTGAATCACGATGAGGATATGGGTATGGATGCGGATCTTGATGCAGATATTCCAGAAGCAGACGAGGGCTATGAACATACCGACACGGAAGATGAACTGAGCAGTAGTGAAGAGGAGGATGAAAGTGTTGATGAGGGAAATCTACCTCAAGCGCGATATCCAGCAGCGTCGAGTCTGGTGAGAAGTGATGGAACTCAGAACAGTATGGATTTAAGCAGCGTGCTGTCGAATGGTAGTAGCCAAGTCGGAAGTAGTCCCCAGCAAAGACGATTTGGGCGATAGGTCAGTGGTATTGGAAGCATGGCCGAGGACTATAGGCCAAGGTTCTCATACTCGCAGGTTCGAGTATGCATCGATACTAGCTCATTAATGATTAATACGCCTATCAAGGTAACCACTGCTTGCAATTAGCGCAATAAATAGATATTAAATACCCCGAATTAGCGCATTGCAATGCTCTCTCTAATAAAGTTAATACATCCTAACTCTTTCTATCATTGAAATCAAAACAAGAAGTCTTAATATTAACAAGGTGCTTCTTTGCAGCCATCAGAAAAAGATATAATACAACCCCTCCCTACCCAGAAACGCCCCAAAAAATGCAATTATATCCCATACCCTCCACACGCCCAACCTCTCATCATCTTTTCCACCTTGTCCCCTCTCCAAGCCAGCCTCTAAAACACCCAAACATAAAAGAACAGAAACCCAACCGCCGCAAAAAACAACAACCACACCTTCCACCCCACTCCCGTCTTCTGCGCCATTACCAGCATCCGATTCATCGTGCCCTTTAACCGATGGCGTGTCCCGTCGAAGGAATCATTCATCTTCTCCGCCAGAGCAGAGGATTCGCGGATCTCGTCGCCGATGGCTACGGTCATCTACCGGCAAGAATTAGCAAGCTGTGAGGTAGGAAAGGGGGGAGAAGGGACATACATCTTTCAACTGCCTCACTTTCCCCATAATCCCCGCAACCTGTCCATCATTCTGACTCTCCAGCTCATTAAGCACCGCGTCGCTATACTGTCCCCTAAACCCTAATCAGCCCCCCCTTTCCCCGTCTCCAGAACACATCACATACCTCGAATTCGGCGTCGCAGGTCTATAAGCCCTCTCACTACTTAAATCCCCGCCTAATCCCCCCTTGCCAGCATATCCATAACCGCCGCCAGGATTATATCCGTATCCTCCTGGACTGGAGCTGCCGTTGCGCCGGTCTGCGGTGTTGCTGGCGCCGCCGTTGTAGTTTTCGAAGAGCGCGCTGCGGGGGTCGCGTTGGTGGAGGGAGGAACCTCCGAATCTGCTGATATGCGGTGTTAGTATGAATGCCTAAAGTACATGTTTCAAGAAACAGCTTGGGACGGGGAGTTGCGCAATGCAAACAAGGCCGGGGATGAATTTGACGAACCTAGAAGCCATTCTCCTCACAGAATATGTTTTCTTTGCGCAATACTGTCAATCCCTTGACGCCCTTCAAGAATACTTTATTTGTAGGGCGCGTCGTTTAAGAATAAGGGTTGTAGTTGAGAAGAAGCCACGACATCATCACCATGAACCCCAGCCAGTGACGACAAAACAAAGAAAGTCGCGATGTAATTAAAAACGCGTGACCTGCCGATATTATAGTTGCCTAACGGTGAGAATGAACCATGAATTCATATAGCCTCAAGATTTAAAGTTTACGTTTTAAGAGTCAATTTGTCCATTTGGTTTCACTTACTCAAGTTGAAGATGCGGCTTGTTGCGGCTTTTGGATTAGGTTTCACGAGGATTTGAATTCTTGCAACTGTTATGAGATTCGTCACAATGACAATTTCATAACCTCGTACCTTGAGGAACTCATAGTTTTGTTCACTGATTTTCCTATTATGAAATCAATTAGAGCCAGGAAACAACTCTCTGGTATAGTACAAGTCATTTGCCAAGTGAACAGGAGCGTTTTAAAGATATTAGCAAAGTATCACAACAGGAGCAAATGACGGAATGCTAGTCGATTGCCGAAAATTGGTATTGTTACTTTTTGTTATATCTCGAGATGCTGTAGGCTTTGGTATTCAATACAGATGATCTCTAAAAGTTCCTCCCATGCCACCGTCCAATCCTCATCATTCATCGAGTCCCTATGCTTCGTGATATCATATCTGAATGTATTTTTATTTGCGCGAAAAATGCCGGCCATCTAAACTTCGGCGAAAGGCGAGAAAAGAGAAGGAACATCTTGTTGATGGCGAGTCTTTGACATTTGCAACCTCGACCAATCTCCCTGGATATATCGCTATACCTCGAAAAAAGTCGAAAGCTCGGGGACAGCCAACCTAGGTTCCGGCGCACCTAACTATTCCTCCATCCTGCTGTCCTCGTCGGCAGTATCGACTGGCTCTTCGAAATCATCGTCATCCTCCTCATCTTCGTCGTCGGCTGGTGTCTCTGCAGCTGCCTTGGCGAAGTCGATTTGAACACCCCGAGTTCGGCGGCCACTGGTGATAATGTTGCTTGCGTCGATCTCATCATCGCCGTCGTCGACCTCTTCAACTAGAATATGTAAATAAAATTGCGTTTTGGGCGCTTCGAGGATATTTCAGTCCTTACCAACTGGCGCAGCCTGATTGAAGTGTTAGCCAATTGAGTGTTCAATCAATATTCGAAGTTAAAACCTACTTCGACGTCCTCGTCGCTTGAGCTGTCATCCTCTTCCATGTTTACTTCTTGGGTAGTTGGCTCGACGGCCTTGCCTTTACCCTTTCCTTCTGAGCTATCGACCTGCATGGCGGAACCGTTTGCGGCAGACATTTTGGTAATGGTTTGGAGATCGATTTTTGTTTCGAATGCGCTGAAAGTTGTGGTGTTTTGAATGGTGATCTGGAGATAGACTGGAGAAGTGAGGGCGCGAGTACTGGCAGTCGCGTAGGACCCCTTCAAAAAGGGAGCGAGGTTGGTGGGGTGAAATGCCGCTCCACTTATGCCTCAGGCTGAAGTGTCGAGAACGTTTGAGACAGGTGAGCTATTCACCAATCAAATCTGGTATCATATAGTCCTTTCGACACCTCAATTTGATCCAGTAATTTATTTTCAGACACAGATAGATGATTGCAAGAAACCTAAAACTGCCTTTACAGACTGGAGATAGGATTCCCAGGGCTCAATGGCCCCTAGCATAACAACTGGAAGACATAGACTACTGGGCAGTTGAAACACGAAAATATACTCCAAAACTTGCTTATCTGCGTATCTGACGCCCTGAGAGTGTAAGTTGGCAAGCAGGACAGTGGATTGACAGGCAAGATAGCAAATTAGGCAATCGGATTGGATGTTTCCTCGCCATCACTTCTCGTAAAAACACGCCATAGACCAAGCAAGTTGTTTGATGAAGATAGAAAGTGGAAAGAATTCAGTAATGAAACGGAACGTTTATAAGACGAAAAGCAACGCAAGAAGGCTCTGACGAGATGATTTCTAAGACCTACCATATATTCTTACTGACAGGTAATAATCCTTTCTCGTGATAGTGGTAACGTCAAAAATCCATTAATCTCGGGATATCAGCACACGAGCCATCTATTCACCTCCGCCAGCGGTCATCATAAGCATAACAACTGCTAATCCAACCCACCAATACCTGTGGTTGTTAGCTTCAAACAGTAATAACAATTAAATGGCATGAACTTACCTCTGTAACAATGTCTTCTCTGGTACTTCCTCCTCAAGCGTTCCTTCTTTACTAAGCACAATTGGCTTATTCAACTCCGGTGTCTTCCCTCTCTTCGTCGTAACAATCATAGCCTTCGCCCCAAAATCCCTCGTTTGTCCAGCGTCAATAACAGCACCTTTTACAGTTGCGCCTAACACTTCGCCATTCCGATCCACGCTCAGAACGATAGTCGGTCTGATGCCTTTCCCAAAATTCTCCACACTCGTCGTTGATATAGCAGATTTCCACCGCTTCGTAGCTGTATCGTAGACGCCGACGCGCAGAAGCTTCGTCTCGGGTGATAGATCTGGATGAGAATAGTCCTCGACGACGACGTCACGGAGTTCATGGTTGTATAGGATGCTCGCGAGAGGTAATATGGGTGACGAGGTTGAGGAAACGGATTGTACGAAGATTTCAACTGAGCGGGGCAGTTCGTCTTTATTAAAGCCTAACCCCGTAACGGCGAGGGGAGCAAGAAATCCCCAAACGAGCGTGGAGAGCTTCATGCTTATGGTTTGACGTTGTTATGTTCCAACCCTCTTTACGAAGTAGCTGGTCCCCTACATTGGCTGGTTGCGACACCGATGTTTAGCCGTACTATCAAATTAATGCTGTTGAGCCACTCGAGTGACAACTTGGAAATATTTCAATAATAGCATACTGTTCTTTAATGTAAGTTTGTTACAATCATTATTTAAGGACCACAGTGGCCCGCGCTGAAATTTATGTTTGTTGTTTGAGGTCGTATCTACTGACAAAATGAACCCTTTAAACCCAACCAACAACATAGATTTGAACGACAGTACAAGTGAGCCCCCAAACGCCACCAAAACGCTAGACAATGCAAGACAAATAGCCCAGGGTATATCCCAATCACATGTACAATCCATGTATTTCATGGTTGCACCTCTTTCTCGATAGCAGTCTTCGCAGCCGATGTGCGCGAAGAGTTCTCACTCATCCATGCCTTCCACTGTACGTCTGTAGCTTCTCCTGACTTGAGATCTTGATCTTTAATTTCACTGATTTCCCCTTCGCCACTGTCCTCATCGTCTTCGTCTAATGAGCTTGACTCGTCCTCATCTAACTCGTATCCTTCCGATCGCTCTACCAAACCACGATAGTAGTCAACCAAAACCTCCGGGTTCGGCACTATCTTCCAATCGACTCGATACAAGAAATCCAATTCCAACAAGCCCAATTCTGCCAGCTTGATACCTCCAACGCGAGCATAGGTCGCATTGTTCCAAAAAGAATCAGACAGCCCTTTCGCAGCTACAGTCGCCGCAGTAATTAGAAATCGATGGATGGTCAGAGTTGTGACAGTGAAAGCAGGGTACAGTGAGCATAGCCGATCGATGTAGTAAACCATGGACAGTAATAAGGGAGGCGTCAAAGTTGCGTGCTTTGCCAACCTTTGCAAATAGTCAAGAACAGATATTCCTGGAGGAGTCCTGTAGCAAATTAGCAAGTTGACAACGACATGAACAGCATTGTGAGCGGACTTACCTTGAGTGAAACCTCGTAAGGACCCCAGTTCGCAGAGGCAGCCCGTCATTTGTGGCTATCAATTCTGAGATCATGTTCGCAATGAGGATTACCATATCTTCCACTTCGCAAAACTCGTATTTAATCGGTAATATTTTGACCGCCGTTTGGGCTGCGCGAGCACGCTTGGGTGCAACATTATGACTACTGCCGCCGGCCGTTGAAGCGCCAGTCAGAGATTGACGCCTTTTGGAACTTGGAGATTGGGGTTCCAGTAAAGGTTTCTCAAGCAATTTCGCCTGCTCTTCTTTAGATAGTTCTACTTCTGCTGCCACAGCACTCTTTGGTTCTGGTTTCGCAGATATGGATTCCCCGTCCGCGATTTCCTTCTTCAAATTCATAACTGGACTTTCCCACTGGGTGCTAGCGTCGGCATATCGTACTCGAGGAAGAGAAGGTGGAGGAGCAACTTTTTAGACAGAGCTCTGTATGTTTGTCTAGGCTTGCGACCTTGCCGAGTTCCTTCGGGAGAGAGGAGAAGTCGGTAACGATTGCGAGACAGGCGCATAGTGAAAATTTGGAGAAGCTGGTGATCGAGGCTGCGTCAAAGGCTTCAGCATGGTCTCAAAGCTCCTCTCATGATCAAGACCCTCGATAACCCAACGTCTCTTAGATGGAAATATCTAAGTGATCTGCACGAGGGTGGGGTAATGAAGCGCCTCGAAGGTGTAATAATATATACAACTCCACTGGCCGTTTGGACTGTCCTGGGCTGGAGATTCTAGAGTTCCTTTCGCGACAATTTTGAAGGATTCAAACCGAAGACGGAGTCGAAGTTTAAGAGGTGTTCGATTGCGTGGCCGACTGCTTTTGATGTTAAGGCGGAGTTTTTGTTTTTATTGCTTGATAGTTCAGGTTGCCTCGAATTGTTTATTAACGATCGACAACAAGGCTGGCCACTAGGGGAATCGATAGCGCGACGAGGTAGAATCAGATCATTGAAACCACTGTAATCATGGCAATGTTTGAAAATCGTAGGAAAACTCATTTTGGCCATCCAGGCATTGTTTGGCCCCTCCAAAAATGACGCCAAGCTACAAGGCGAGGCTGAGATCCGGCCGCACCGCCCGGACCAACCAAAATACCAGAGAAGGTATAACTCACTGGTCGAGCAATGAGGTGACCCATGAATAGGAAAGTGATATTAGATTCTTCGAAAGTTTGTAGGCATAATTCTTGTCTAAGTATATTACTAAAAACCGTGTATGATATGCATAAAACAAAGAAATATCATGGTCCTACTGACCAAGAGAATTAGCGAATAGCGTCACTGCTGCTCAACCCCGGCTCTCGGCCTCCTCCCGTCTATGTAATTTTGATCCATTCATAGATGCCATCACATTAATGACTTGCGACACTCCGGTTTTGGCAACATTCACGATTATCTTCCCCCAATAATCGACATTATACTTATTACAGCCGCATTGACTCTGCAACCTCTAGCTTCAACACCGTTCGAAACCTGCATCTTGTCGCAGCCGTCACCTTACGTTGCCACGGCCAGTTGGGCGCCCCGTTTAAGACCTCGACCCAAGCTCCTCTCAACATGTCTCGACATTCGTGGATGACACAAATTCGAAATGCTAGAACAGCAGCGGAGCAGACGGCAGTTTTGAGGGCATTGAAGAATGACATTGTTGGGCATCCTCTGAGGAAACAGCATGTGGTCGCAGGAGGAATAATAGAACCTGTTAGCCGTCTGATACTCAATAAGGCCAGTCCAGGAAATGATGGCAAAGCTCACGATCACAGCTTTGCTGCTAGGCCGTTGAGCGAGGATGAGTCTGTGAGACTACAGGGCCTACAGATTCTAGCCAGTATAGCAATGGGTGAGTGGTACTATTCTCACCTACCGGACTGTTGCTAATGTATTCCAGGAGGTCCTTCTTTTTTCACCCCACTACAATCTGCGCTACCAGCAATTCTATCGAATATATGCCCCTCAAACAATCCTGCCAAGCTTGTCTTATCCTCTCTTCAGGCACTTTCAAATCTTGCCGACTGTGCAGCGCTATTGTCGGGCCTCCACTCTGTCAATTTAGATACAATCGCAGACGCGGTTTTCACCCGCCAGTATGTCGCAGCTCTTTCGCGGATTTTGTCCCAGACAAGTACCTCCGCGATAGTTCAACGTCAGGTCACATTGGCAACCTTGTTAGTAACAAAGCTGTGCAAGGAAGAACGATACCAACAAATACTAGCTACCTCGGGGGTTCTAGACGCATTAGCGACTAGGCTAGCAGGATATATTGTTGGTGAAGGCTTTGTCATACCTGGGGCAGAGACAATCGCCCAGAGAGATGGTCTCGCGGAGTATTTTCCAAAGGATATCTCGTCGAACGTGCCACTGGCACTGCTATTGGAGGCAATTTCGCTCATAATTGCCAATTCCAAGTTTCGAGCTTCCCAGCTTTTATATTCCCCGTCTATTCTTGCGGTATTCCCGGTTTCCTCAGATACGGTTATCCCTCAGTCCACACGCACGGCTTGGAATGCTTTTGTTGTTGCCGGATTGAGTGGTCGGCAGAGCCAGCTCAATGCTGTCGATTATCTTTTACCATATGTACCTGTTCAGCAATTGAAAAGTGCCAGTACTCAGATATCTGCTTTCCCTCCTCTTGGGACTTCTGGATCACGAGAAAACCTGCATCTTAATGGGAGATCAAGTTCGGGCAATAAATATGCCGGGGCTTCTAATTGGGGCGATTTCGGCATCGGCGACGCTGCAGTCACCTCAGAGCCTACCGCTTCCGAGACTGAAGAGCAAGAAAGTCCTCTCATTCCTTACCTACTTGTTCTTTTCAGATCCAAAGCCGGCATGGAGTGCTTGATGGCAGCGTCAGTTCTTACTATTCTCTACAGGGTAGGGTTGACCAAAAAGTCTAGAGAAGCAGACATTGGTCTCTCGGTGGTTCCACGCTTGGTGAGAATGCTTGACGACAGCATACTACCAGCGAAGGGTAAAGACTTTTTGGCAGACATGGAAAATCAAACATTCGAATGGACTATTAAAGAAATGGCACCCGCTGTGCTGTCATTGCTTATGACTGATAGCGAGATCTTGCAAAAAGCAGCATTTGATGCACATGTTATAGGCAAACTCGCTAAATTATTGAAGATATCGTACGATCCGGTCATAGAGACGCCAGAGATAGAGACTTGGTCGCCTCATGAGGAAGGCGATCTCAACATGGGATCGGATACTTTCAAAGCAGTTTCTCAAGGGCAGCCTCCTTTACTAGCCCATAAAATTAGGGTCAGAGAAAGTACGCTAAAAGCCATTGCTGCTATTTCACTTTTCAAAGACGAGTACCGGAAAGCAGTAGTTGAGCAAGGGGTAATTCCATACATAGTGGAATCGATGAATCCCACTCCTAGTAAGCCACTACCACGATTGGAAAATGGCGATAGACCGCCCAAGGCCACCGTGGAAACAGTGGCACAGGATGGGTACGGAATCAACACAGTGCACGTACTCATTGCCGCATGCGGTGCGGTTAGAGCGTTATCACGATCAGTCGGTATTCTCAGGACAACGCTCATAGA